TAATATCCCATCCTTTTTTCAAAAATAGTAATGGATCAATATTTCTCAAACAGTATATTGACAATTCTCAAAAGTAACATTTATTTTTCCTTTAGTTAACACTTTAGATGGTGGAATTTGAGACTACTGTATGCATTAATACAAGGTGAGGAGGTTTTGTCCCATCCATTTGTTTAACTATCCTTCAGTCTCTATCACTATACTTCTATGTGTGCTGAGGACATTATTATAATTTATCCTTTTATTGCTATAGTAATGATTGGAATGAATATATCTACATTCAGTCCCCAACTCACTACACTAAGCAAAGTTAAGAGGTTAAATTTGTATCTAGTTATCTTCTAGAACAGAATCTGCTAGATCACCATCTCTCTGGCCTCCAGAGATACTGCCCTTTTTAATCTATTTTTATTTGGAAAGGAATCTAGGTTTTCAAATAACCAGATCTTCCAAATGGAAGATCTGCTGGTTTCTGATTATGCCTCATGTAAACATTTTAATATGGGATCCCTAAAATCCAGAGGCTCCCCTAAAGGGGATTAAAACATAATCCCCTCCCTCTATTGCTGTAGTGGATTAACTCTATATTGCGGCCAGTTTGCTCCCGGAAGGCGGCAACAAAAAGACTCAGTGCTCCTCAAACATTCTATGGAATTGAAAGTTGTAATTGGAGATTTCCAAAGGACAAGGGTAAAAATGACACAGTATTAAGGCTGAATATTTCATGATGTGTCTTTCCTAAAGAAGGACCAGTTTGAAGTCTTTTCATAACCCTCTAGAAAATCTCAATTCAATAGAATAAGTTTGGAGTAAAATCAAAAGGAAGTGCAGTCTCCTTTCAGACACGCAGAAAAACAAGTAGAGAAAATGTGTTCCCCGTTAAAAGTTCACAGAATTTGGTACTTAAAATACATAATATATTTAAGTAAATCAGTGTGTATGGTTTTGATAGTGTCTTTCGTGATTTTTTTCAATTTTCTCGATTTAAGTGTTTGGGTATGTTAAATTACTTTTTAAGAGATAGAAGCGGTTCGCCATTTTTACTGTTTTTGACAATTCTTCGTCTCCAAATGCCAGAAACCTTTATTAAGCCAGAAATCACTAGCTTTCTGTGTTTAAAATGACGACTTTTCTGAGGTTTTAGCAAGGCCCAAGGATGTATAAGATACTTTTTCCGATGTGAATCATGTCACCTTCTTTCTGACCTCGCCCCAATCAAGAGTAAATCTGGATTTCTCCGGAAGGGAAATTTGAAAAGTGGCGTCCAAAGGAGCGTCCTGGTGGTTTAAGGGTTAAGGGAGCGGTTCGAACCGGCCCGAGCGCTGGGGGACTCAGAGCGGGCGCGGGAGGCAGGAGGCGCCGCCGAGCGCGCACAGACCCTCCAATAAACACAAAGGAGGGCCTGGGGAATAGAAACCCAAATCCACTTGTAATCGTACAAGAGATTCGGGCATAATTACTTGAGCAACCTAGATTAAGATTGATGAGCCTTTAAAGTGGTGCTTCAGATCGACCGCCTCGCCCTTTGGAAAGAAAAACCTTGTGGAGCCGAGATGGAGCCGGACTCCGCTCGGCTCCGCGGCGGAAACTGCCCGCCGAGACCCCGGCCGGGAGTCCGCGCGCCCCGGGGCCGGGCCCCCCGCTGCGGGCTCCTCGGGGGCTGGAAAGCAGTAAAATAAAAGAGAGGGCTTTGCGTTAGTCTGACCCGGGCGGTCGCGATCGGCGTGAAGGCTGACACTGACACAGTTTGCTTCATACCCACCCCCTTAAAGCGGGACAGCAGCCGGCCGATTCCCCTCTGTTCCTCCAGCAGCAGAAAGGGCCCGGCTGTGTGCAGGACGGTCGCGAATTCGGTGTGTGCCGCTCCCTGGACACGCGAACTTCTCTCCAGTCCCCCGCCCGCCCGCCCGGCCTGCTCGCAGTGGCCGTGGCCGTGGCCGTGGCGGCGCGAGCTGGTCTCTTCGAGGGGCCGCCGCCGAGGGGCCGGGGCCCGAGCGGCCGCGGGGGACCTACCTTTTTACTGCCTTTCTCCTCCCGTTACTGTGACTTGACTATATGCACTTGAGGAGGGTGGGGGAATGGAAGGGAATGTAATGCGCCCTTGCTACAGAAAAATGAAGACGTTATTTCTCTATTTCTCATTTCCTTGTCTGTATCTTAAGTCCGGGATAGCGAAGAATGCCTCCCCTTTGGAGAATCTTAAAGGGGCAGTTTTGTAATCCCCCTTTGAGTTGATGTTCTAATACGTGAAATTCGTAATTTTCAACATTAACTCAGATTGAGAGAATTCGAAGTAAGCACTTTAGTAGGTACATTTTCTAAAAATCTCTTTTACTGAAGCTTACTTAGTTCCTCTAGTTTCAAAAGTTGAGAAGTAGCACTTTTCGGACGCTTTTCTGAGTATCGTTTTGTTCTAGCGACTTGCAGTTTCATCACTTTTGACTGATTCTCGGTGAGAGAACCACTGCTAAGATTTTCGTTCTTTTCTACATAAGAAGTGTATGTAATGCCCTTGTATGCATATGTGTGTCTGTGGCGCGCCTTAGGACGCCGATAATAATCTTCTGCAAGATGCAAACCCGTTACCTGGTGGAATTTATACATTTAGATCCTATACCCCTTCACGTCCTCCCGCCCATCCTTGGGGAACGCTGCTGCCGAGTGGACCGGCTTTACACGATGGCTGGTCTTTGGGGGCAGTGCTGACTGCCTGGGGTCTTTCAGAGAGCTGGAGAATGGGGCGTTAGCGAGTCAGTTCTGCACTTCTAAGTTGGTTATTGGCAGTGTCTCACCAACAATGTAGGATTTCTAGGCGGAGGTTGCAAACTCGCTTGCTAAGGGTCACTTTCTCGGTATCCTGACCTCTTGGGTTTTTAAAGAATTATTTATCTCTAGTCTCGTTATAAGGTAATGTGTAAACGCTAAGCAGACCGTATCTCGCATGAAAAGAGCTTGCCGCGTAATATAGGAACCATTTTTTAGTGCATCTTTAAAAATAAAACCCTGGCGTACCCTTCTGGGAGGGAGCGGGAGAGGGTCACAGGAACTCAGCCTGACTCGGTGCCCTTGTCTTTCAGGCCCAGTGGTTCTCAGCACTCCTGCCCAGCTTATCGCTCCTGTGGTGGTGGCCAAGGGGACTCTCTCCATAACTACGACAGAAATCTACTTCGAGGTAGATGAGGATGATCCTGCCTTCAAGAAGATCGACACGAAAGTGAGTTAAAATGATTCCGTGTACAGTACTGGTGGCTTTGTGGCAGGAAGTGGTTTTCAATTTTGCTTGGTTTTAAATGACAGTGGGGGAGGGGAGCACATTCCCATCTTTCTCATAGAAAATAAAATGAATGAAATAACACAAGCTCTGTTTTATGGGATTGAAGAATATATTAACGATTTTAAATCCTGTGTTACCAGAGCATGCACATTTTAACAGTCTCTCTAGGAGTGCCTTTGTGTGCACTGGGGCTGATTTGGTAGTTAAGCCAATTGCTCCCAAGTCCCTGGGGTACAGCATCTCAGGCTCTCTGGGAAGACTAGGAAGGGTCTTATGAAATTTCTTATTAAAATCACTTCTAATTTCCAGAAGTGTAGATTGCCATGTGAATTATTATTCATTGAAAGGTTATAAGGAAACTGGGTGGGAAACCATTTAGATATAAATTCATCTCCATTATTACATCCATTTTTCATCTCCAGAAATAAGAATGGGTTTTACATGTGAATTTAAGAGGAAGAGAAACTGATTCTTTGAAAAACTTTGATTTAAAATGTGTCTACATAGTATTTACTAGAGCTCAGATGTTTCAAGTTTGTATTCTGTGAATGTAATGCCAGAAAATACGTATGTGGACGATTTGAAATGCATAAATATTTATTTGTTTATTATATCTTATTGTGTAGATTTTAAAACCTGAGTATTAGGGAAGCTCTACTACACCTCTGCAATTTTCTTCTGAAATCAATTTTATTGTTGACTTTTATGTTACTGTGCGATTTGTAAACTTTTTTCTGAGGTTGAGAATTCAGAAGCATAAGTGTCAAGAGCATAATGACTCAAGCATCATTTTACAAAGATCTTCCTTTAGTGTATTTTTCAGAAGCAATTATTCTAAAATGGTCAAAGACAAATGCTCCCATAGATCCAGAACTTTATTATTTCTATTTAATTTTTATATATAAATAAAGCATTATAAAACACTATTTGTAGAGTAGCAATTGAAATTCTAAAATTTACCCCCACCTGAATTAACTAACCACCTTAAGGCCCAGAGGTGATTAGCCCTTTCAGCACTTGTTGACAATTAAAATACTCTGAAGGATAGTCACAAGACTTCTGTGACTTCTAGCTCCAAAAGAATTGAATTTTAAAAATGAGTTTGAATGTAGTGTATTTGATTTTAAAAAATTTAAAGTTTGTCTTTAGGCTTTTATCATTAGCTTGCCCTGTGAAGTAAAAAGGAATTTTGGATTTCTAATTAATTTATTTAGCTAATGGAACCCGTACTGCATAAAACCAGGTTTGACATAAAATGGTCAAAATGATCTTCATTGTATTAGCATAGTTAGTTTTCATATACAAATTTCAAAAGTTTCATTATGACTTTATTAAGTTCATTTTCTCTGAGTCTGCTTTTTAACTCAGCAATCTTTATTGTCATAATATATTTTTTCCTTATGTTATCAAAAATGCGACAGAAATACTAACCCAGAAGAGCAAGCTTTCAAGGGTAGATTTAAATTGCGTCTGTTGTAGAAAGGAATAGTCTTCCAAATAAGTGAGAAACTGAGAGTAGACCATTATCTTCTCTAGCTGTACAAAAAGAGCTTTTCTCCAATATTTTAAGGTTTTATTTTTAATGATTTCATTAGCGTATTTCTCAGAATGTTTAAAATATTCAAGCGGGTTCAATTTTCAAAACGAAGCGTTACATCTTTTGATAGAAAACCAATTTAAACTGAGACACAACTTTTATTTTACTTCATTTATTAGCTTCTAATTAAATAAAAACCAGCAACAGAAATTAAAATCTAAATCACGAAAGTAATTATCCAGTGTATTTCAAGTGCATTTTTCAAATATATAATTCAGATATTCAAGCGTTATTATATAAGCTGAATTCAAATTTCTTTGAATATATTTAAATAACATTTCAAGTATATTTATGGAATGTTAGAAATAGAACAAGCAATATATTTGAAACAAAATGTAAACTTTTTAAAGTTCAGACACTTTCAAAGACAGATAAAAGTACCAGGAGGAAATCTACCTTTAAATGGTATCTTTGTTGGTGGAAAATGTCTGGAAGTTGTCCGAAATGGCAATTTAACTTCTGTTCACCAAATCACAAAACACAACAGCCACACTTTCAAAGACAATGTGAGATCACAATATTTGTTACAAATTAAAATATACATTACACTTTCCTTCAGATGGCATATCCAAGTCGTGTTTACTCACAGACAGAGGCACCTACATCACCAGGATTGTTATAATCCTTTGATAGTTAGTTGGAGCCTTCACTATGGTCTTGCGTTACAGCCAGGTTGTTTTCCGGGTGTTACTGTGTACTTTTCAAGGGAGATAGGAAATCCTTTGTAAAGAAGTCTTCTAATACTTGTGGGTTTGGGTTTTTCTCCATGCGCTTCCCCTACTTCTTTTGCTCCCCTTGGAGGGGTGGGTGAGATGAAGCCTAAACATTGTATTATTATTCCTTTTTAAGGAAGAGATTGTTTGCACTGTCAAGCGGAATATCAGATAGCAATCGAACAGGAAGTTTACACTTAATTAGGACTTTGAGAAGAATAATCACGTATGGGCTCTTGATTAAATTGCCCTCTAAAGTTTTTCCAAACTTTTCGGGTTGGTTAGAATCTCTCTTGCCAGTCGCCACGTTTGTTTGGCAGCGTTCTCCAGAGCCGAGTGAGGTTTGCCTTGAAACAGATCTAAGTTCGGTAGGAAGTAGTGAGGACACCGCCGGCACTGCAGGCAGGAGATAAGTTGCAGCAAAATCCCGTTAAGCCGATCACCCAGGCAAGACTCGTCCCAGTCCGACTCCCGGGGATGCTTTTCACACTCATAGGAAACCAAAGTCTTCATGTGGTAATTGTTCAGAGGCTGGCCCGGCAGTTCAAGGTGACGATCCCGTAAGGTTTTGAGGATGGAGAGGCATTTCTTCCTGCAGCCCCCCATCTGCAGTCTGTTCTCCGCTTCCGCGAACTGCAGCACCCAGGCGTCGCTCTCCGCCGAGCTCTGCTTGCCGGCCAGGGAGTGGCACTCCTTGGATAAGAGATTGAACCCTTCCGCTTTGACCTCCGCCACCCGGTTGGGTCCTGGCCAGGGGATGTGGGGAAGTGGCCAGTGGGCAGCACTCCTCGGCCAGATCCCGGTGCATTTAAAAGCCGGGGTGATCTGCACCACGTACCTATCTCGAATTCTCAGTTTCACTTCGCTGGTGTCTGCCACCATCTTTACCACATCCCTGTAGCTACATTTGTCTACCGCTTGAGCCACCAGCGTCTGAAATCTGGACCGGATTTTGCGCGCCGAGAGGTAGCCGGAGGCGGTAATGAATTCCACCCAGAGGGACATGCTCCTCTTGCGCCCGTCGCTCAACTTCAGCACCGCGCAGCCGGGCAGCGAGCCGTCGTCCACAAAGTTGAACACCCCCATTTGGTTAAGGTAAAGCACCACCTCGAATTCAGTGGGGGAGATAACCTCGAGGCCCTCGTAGCGATTGTCCATCTCGTTGAGAGAGCTGATGAAGCGAGGCTCCTGCACTTCCACTTCTTTCAGTACGTCGGAAACTACTTTGCAGACTTCCCGGATAGTTTTGGCAATGGCAGCTTTCCTGGCTTGGCATTTTTCATTGTAGTATTTATTCAGATGGTAGACCAGCTTGGCCTGGGCCGCGATCATGTTGGGGCAGAGATCCGGATTGTACACCGGAGTCTCGCAGTAAGCTGTGGGATCCAATGCGGCTGCTAGAGCTGGAGCCAACTTCGGTGGAGAAACGGGCCGCTGCGCTCAGAAATGTATCAAAAACGCCTTTCCGATGTGCTGCAGCTGGGGATTCCTAGCTACCGCTTTCCCTTCCTTTTATCTTTGAGCCCAGCCGGTCTTAAAGTGAAAGATTGTTCTCCCCTTAAAGAATCCTTGTGTGAGAGAAATGCATGGAGAGATCACCTTCTCGGTAATAAAAACAAAAGTTGCGTTGAGACCCAGCCAAGCTCTTCCAGTAGTCAAAATAATCAACCCTTTCCGTATTTATTTACGCTTTCCCGTAATCATTGTGTGTGCAAGACTGTTAATCAAATGGAGGAAAAGTGTGCTGAGTGTGTGTCGGGGGTGAGTGTGCGTGTGTATATGTCAGAAGAAGCTGCTGTTGGTTTGTCTAAGAGCCCAGATGCACTCGTGTGGAAATTATAAAGGCAGGGCCAGGCAGGCTGGCGGCCAATCGCCACTGGGCTCGTCACGACAGCCTCCTTCAGCTCCAACCCGGCTAATTAATCCCCCCTCATGGATATAGGCACACAAACTAAAGGTAGGAGGCTGCTGCCGGCAGAAAACTACCCAGGCCACCTAGACAGTTTTGGAAATCAAGAGGAATCTCTCTGTTTCGGTATTACTTGAAGCATATTGACATTCTGAAAAGACTTGGCAAAGTGGTTCTCTTCTGTGCTGAAAACCCTGCTTGTCTTTTTACCACGGAAATGCAAATACAGGTGTATTAATGGTCATCCATCAATGAGTGAACTAGATGGGGTTTTCTAAAACAAAAGTCACTAGCTCGCCTTTAGAGTAAGATAATTAATGTCTGTTAATCCTCGAGGTCTTTTTAAATGCAGGTTGAAAGTTTGCTCTTTCATGTATATGCAAGTTGGCTTTAAAGGGAATAATACCTGTGTAATTTTCTGGAGGTTCCTATGTGTTAGAATGATTTTTTTTTTTTTTTTTTTTACATTTTGCAGTGTTTTATCTCTGTTTTTTCCTCATTTGCAGTTGTTGAAAAGAATCTGAAAATTATTGCTGTGTGTTAGATGTTGTCTACCCCCAGTTTAAGCTAGAATGTTTAAAAAATGTTGACTGCATCCCTCCACCCATCTGCAGTCCTCTTTGTACTTTGGTAGACTTGCCCAACATCACAAGTAGGACACTAAGTTTAGTATGCAGTGGTAGAAGTATTTGAAAAATAAATTCTCTCTGTGATGGGGAGATTATTTTAATGTGCATTCATACTGAGCTTGTATTTTAATATGTGAAATTCAGGAGAGATCACAGAAGTGAGACCTACTGGCAGATAACTATCCTAAAAATTTGCAGGTTTGGGATTTCTGGCTTGTTTACAGAGGAATAATTACGGATATATCTCCTCTGTTAACTGTCCTTAGTATTGACCTGACAGTAGACTTCTAAATTGATACCATTTCATGTGATTTGATTAAGGGAAAATGGTTAATATTTTAAAAGAAAATTAATTTGCAGTCATCTAAGGTTTTTTAAAAATGTCAATGTCATTTGGGAAAAATTTGAAAGAAATCAACATTTCTAAATTTTGGAACCTTGAAACAGGAGGGGGAAATGGATTTATGCAGAACATCTTTTTTTCTGGTGGTACCAATTGTGTCCTTAATGTACAGGCAAGGAAAAAAATACTACTTGGGGGTTATATAGTGGTTTTAAAATCTAGGCAGATTTTTAATTGCTTACCTTTCATTTAGAGGCAGTCTCTTTCAAATTAATAATACTTCCAGAAAAATCTTATAACTCCTAGTAACAGGTCTGCAGGCACTTTTTCAGAGCCACTTTTAACAAGATCTTGTTCAGGGTTGCCACGTTTCACTCAGGCTTTTTGACTTTTTTTTTTGCACAGGTACAGCCTCACAAAACCACCTATTATTTACTTTCTCGTTATCCAAGAATGATAGAGTCCTATTTAGCTTAAAATAGTACATTAGATTTAGGGCTCATGGCATCCATCGACTCTATTCCCCGAGAACCTTCCATTCCCTTAGGAGCAGGGATGGGGACGCCGAACAGCCCCTCCCCACTTTGCAGGCGTTTCGGGTGAACGCACTGCTACCTTTTGGCAGTTGGAAGAGGAAGAAGAGGAGACAAATCAGAGCCGGGGAACCTGCGACCGCGAAGGCGAAGATATGCCCTGGTCTCTGGGGAAAAGCCACCTCTGTCCCTCACCGAGCGCAGGTCCCCGTGTGCTTCCCGCTGGTCCCCTCTCTCCCGCTACTCCGCACTCCCGGGCCATCCTGCTTTCCTCCCTCCGCTCAGTGTCCCATAGGCTTTCTTTATGCGTGCCGGTTATTTTAAAACCTTCCTTGGTGTCCCCGGTTTTTCCACGTGTGCTCCAGGCCACGGTCTCTACCCACGCACCCCTCAGCCCTGGCCGCCGCCCGGGCCCACGTGTGGCCGCAGCGGAGCCCGGAGCTTTCCGGTCTCCGGACACGGGCCCCTGCGCCCAGCGCGCTCTCCCTTGGGTTCAGGCCAGAGTTTCTCGGCCAAGACCTCGCCCCTCGATTTATTGGGCCACCTGCAAATATGCCAGGTTGTCGAGGCCCTGAGACAGCCTGGGACGCAGAGGCCCCGGGGCCGTTCGAGAGGACCGTGGCGCGGCGGTCCGGGTGGGTCTTCCTCGAAGGACGCGAGGGGCGCCGAGCCGGCCTCGCTGGAGCCAGGCGCGCAGGTGGCGCATCTTCGGGGCTCACTGGGCGGCTTAATTGGGATAAAGCGAAGCTAAACACCGAGGCACTTTGTGCAAACTAATTGGTGTAGCCGGGACCTTTTCACTAACGATTTGCACTTTGAAGAAGAAAAATGGATATGAGAAAAGGACTAAGAAACTCAGTTCTCGAGTGTTCCAGGGAAGTGAAGTCATTCAGTTCCAAGGACACAGGACTCTGTTTTCTGAGCTGCTGCCTTCAGCACCCTTCACACAGGGAGCTGACAGTGATTTACATAACATGGGACTCACTCACCCGCTGTTATCACTGTGGGTGAACTGGGCGCCCTAGAATAATACTCCAGTGCAAGTACTGCTTGTTGCTGTACAGTGAATTTCTATTAGACTGAACACGTGAAATGAACTGCCTCCTATAGCTGAATCTTTTCAGTGATCTTAGCCACTCTCATTGTTGAAAGGATAAACTATTCTGAGGAGTGTGCTTTCTATACCTTATTTTTGTTGTTGTTGAAATGACCTATGGAGAGGAATTTAAAATTTTTAGTATATTTTTGTGTAGTTCAGCTGATTTTAATCTAGTCTTTGGAGATAGGTTAGTTTTGTGGGCATAACACTTAACTATTGTATAGTAAATTTATTTTGAAATATTATTTGACCTATTGAGCTAGTTTTTTCAAATGATTGCATAATACCTGGATATAGCTTGAAATCAATTTAGTTACTTATATGAAAAGTTATAAAACAACTCTAATGACACCAGTCATATTATTTTTTTTACTATAAATATAATCTTAATAGTTAATACTAGAGTAAAAGCTTGTGTGTGTCCCATACTCTGGGATATAAATGCTTAATTGTTTTCAGAGGCATGCTGTGCAGACATCTTTGACATGAGCTAATAATAGAATGATAATTGAAGAAAACTGACCTAATTGAAGGGGAAAAACCCAAGAATCTCTTGGTATAATGATAGTTTGAGATGCTTACATTTGAATGGTATTTGGGATTTTAAAGTCTAACCGACTTGACTTTTTCATTTTATTTATTTAGTTTACTAGGGAGCCTTGATTTAAAAGGTACCATTTAGAAAAAATATCCAAAAAAGTCGTAAACACACCGTTATCGTAAATTTTAGTACTATTAATGAATATAAAATCATTAAATATTGTGATCCTTAACACTTTGAAGCATTCAAAATAACAATGGCAAAATAATTTTTCCTGAAGTGCTGTTTCCTAGGTGATTTATCCCCCTTCTGTAAACCTACTTAACTTATATAGGATACACAAAGTAATGCGTAAATAGTTACCTTATTAGATTTAAGGAAAAACTTTATTATGTTGAGAAATGTAGGAATGCAAGGTTTCTGTGTTTTAAAAAACCTAATTTAAATTTGAATTACATGTTCATAAATTTAAGCAATTGTGACCTTTCATCTGGAAAAATGTAACTGTTAGAAGATATGCATACACATGTTAAATGCTCACATAGATATTGTTTTGTGTTTTTTCATTATCTGCTGGCTGCTATTCTAATCACAAGTATTCATGAATTTAAAGTTTTATTTTTTTAATATGTGCTTATTACACTGGGGAGATAAAAAGAATATGAAGTTGAGTTTATTAAATTATTTATCCCTACTGCTGGAGTGGCTTTGAAGGCTCATTATACACATCTGATTTCTAACCCCCTCTTCTTTTTTTAAATGCACCCAGGCTATTTCGTCTGTTTCGTTCTGCCAGACACAATATATTTCTTTTTTTACACTAGAGAAATTAAAGACAGATATTTGTGCAGGGTTTTCTTTATGTGTCACATTAAATAAAGTAAAAGAAAGGGAGTTTTTCTGGTAATGTAATTTGATGGCATCTATACCTTTCTTTCTGTTGTAACTCCTGGTATAAGAACACTTGAGACAAACTTGCTTGAGAGCTTCAAAGGTTTTAATGATTTCTTAAAACAATTATTTCATATTTTAATACCAGGTTTATGACAAAGTAAAGCAGAAAATTGAGGTCACTGTTTGCACAATTTAGACCTATTTTATTTCTTCAACCAGAGCATTGTGATAATTGTGGTTAGTTTTTCTATTAATTATTTTATTGAGGTCATATTGGCTTATAACAATGTGTACGTTTCAGGTGTACATTATTATATTTCAGTTTCTGTGTAGACTGCATCATGTTCATAACTGTGGTTAATTTTTAAAAGTTATTTCCTTAATTCTTCACTTGAATGATCAAGGCTGTTGCCCTGGTTTCCTGCATCCCCTCCCTGCCCCACACACACGCACAATCATATGGTCACATTTGTAGTGGGAAGAACTTTTTTTTCTACGATGCTGCTTAGTCAACTTGTTATTGGTGCTAATAAATGTTGAAAAGAAAGTAACTTTGAGATTAAAGATGGAAGTTGGAGGTGTACCTTACAAGAATTATCACCACTGCTAGATTTGCAGATTTGAGGTGATTCTGGATAACTCTGGCTAAAACCTTTCTTTTGGTAGAAAAAGAAATTTAAAGCCTGGGTTATTTAGATAATTGTCTCAAGTTTCCTCACTTCCTTCGAATATGTGCATGGAGGTGCAGGATATTTTAAGTCGTATCAGTAAACTAGAAAATTTAGGGGGGGAAGGTTATCAACCAAAAGATTTTCTTATTGCTCAAAATAAATGTGATCTCTGACCCTTTTCAAACATTCAAGGATATTGGAGTTAGTCATTCATTTATTGAGTATTTTGTCGTAAGTGCTGATTCCAATATTCCAGTTTCTCGTAGACCCTTCAAAAAGTTATCTTTATAATCTATAAAATTTAAATTCATTTTGTTAGATTTCAGCTTCTATTTTTCATTTGGATATTATGGACATATTCTGACAGAATAAATGGGCTCATGTGATTCTTTTCTGTATGAATATGTGAAAACTAGGTTTTCCTTAACCCATAACTACTGTGGATTTACAGACATTTGCATGTATGGCTACATCTTTAGTGCTCTTAGTACACTAGAGTTTTATTGCATTTAGAAAAAACAATGGAATCAGATGCGATTAGTGTCTGTTAATCTGTACATCTGCTTTGGGTCGTCCAGGACTGCATAGCTCTCATTACTGTACCGTACTGTATGTGATTAAGCGACTGAAAATATTCAACATGACCTTGAGACTAGAGTATGGTATGTAGATAATCAACTTCCACTG